AGTTTGCTCTGAAGACATTGAATTTTGAATTTGCCTAGTACAAACAGGTTGATTTGGTTATTGGTTTCTGTATATCAATTCTCAAGACATTTTTGTTAAAAAAACTGGGCACATGCATATGTTAGACCCTAGAGGGGGGTGATTAGGGTCTTATGCTAATCTAATCCGATTTAAATGTCAATTAAAAATAATTAATACGTTATCCTAGCAAGTATGAAATACAACAATATTTGTAAGCTAGGATAAGCAATGTAAACAATAAGATATATCCTATATGATGAAATATATATATATGCAAGGATATATAAACTGACACAATGGTAAACAATATGAACTAGATAGTGGATGATATAGATAATGAGCTAATGACAATGGCGATATAAGATATGAACATAAAAATGAATGAACGCCAAAGCACACTCAAACATGCAATATGATCACGGAGTTCGGACCTTCCGTCCTACGTCTCCGTTCCCTACTCCCGGGGAGAAATCCACTATCACAATCCGGTTTGGAAGCCGGAACTTCTACACACTCGGTTTACAAGCTTACCGAAAACTCTCACACAACAAACACTATGCAATCACACTCTACACCATCACAAGTGTTGGACCTAGCCGTGTCTCCCTCAAGTGCTCGGTTACAACCTCTCCCTAGGTTCGTCAATCGACGCCACTCCTCTTGGGACGATCCCCGACTCTCACCACACACTCCTCTCGGTGTACAAGTGTATTACAAAGTGTATCTTCACAATTAGGCTTAATATAATAAATGTTTGTTCTCTACTATGGATGAGAACACAATGAAAGCTCACACTCAATTGTTACAACTCTCACCAATCTAAATATATTATGTATGAAAATACAATAAGCTCAATGTAGGTGTGTGTAACAATGAGATAATATAATCAAATCTAAACTCAATATAAAAACTAGCTTTAAAGAAAGATAATCAAATAACTAAGCAAATGTAAAGCTAGATAAGAGTTTAGAAAACTTCTCAATAGATCAAGAGGTGGAGGGAGAATAGTTGGAAGCTCAAACTTCAATAGATGATCTCCTCAAGCTCTTGTGGAATTTTCTTCACAAACAAACTCTTGAAACAAACTTAAAAACCCTTCAACAAACTTGTAAAACTCTTTTTAAAACTCTCTTAAACATCCATAAGAAACAATGAAAGTTGAGGGCTTTTTATAGCCTCTTAAACCAGCCACAAACTCTCAAAAACCGAAAATATCAAAAACTAGCTGTTACTAGCCGTTATAGGCTAAAAAGACCAAAATACCCCTAAATTCAGCATTCTGGAAATTTACATATCTGGATTTGTAAAATCAATTAAACATAGTAAATCAACTCCAAAAATTATGAAAATTTGTGAGAAGGTTCTAAACATGTAGAAGAACATGTTAGAGAAATAATTTATGAAAATTCATTTATCATTTGAGAGAAATAAATGTTTGAACACAGATATACAGTTTCTGAAAATCTGCTGACATACACGATTTTGTAAAATCAATTGGGCACAGTAAATCAACTCCAAAAATGGTAAAATTTTGAGAAAAGTTTCTAAACATGTAGTTAAACATTTCTAAGAAAGAATTTCTTAAATATCACTTCCCATTTGTGAAAACTCATCTGTTTTGTAAAAATATACACGAACATGCACGAACGAAAAACATGATTTTGTAAATTCAATTAAACGTAACAAATCAATTTCAAACTTGATGAGACTTTGTGAAATGTTTATAAACATGAAAACAAACATGTTAGAAAAAGAATTTCTTAAATTAAAATTTTCATTTGTGAAAACTCATGTATTTTGTAAAACTTATAAATACATGTGTACATAAACAACTTTACCATATGAAACCAAACATGTATATATATATATATATGAATATGTATTTGTTTCATATTTAAACTTAAAAGCCAAGAACCAAAACTTGTGTATATATATATAACTATATATATAAAAACAAAATATGTGTGTGTATATATGATTGAGCTTAAAGTACTAACACACATAATATAAAACCTAAACTAAATATACCCAAGCTTGATTGGTCTTCAATAAGCTCTACTTGGTAATCTCGCGGATAAAGCTTGAACTTGATCTTTAACTTTGAATTGCAAGGCTTCACCGACATTCCGCCAACCTCATTTGGATATGATCATTGAAGCTCTATTTCATCCATCCTCCAACTCGTTGTTTGCCTAAAATAAATACGAAAACACAAACACTAGACAAACAACATTAGTGGTAAATTATTTGTTAAACATCATCAAAACAAAGAGGCCAACAAATGTTAGAGTACCAAAGTGCAAAATATCCCTTAAAAATATGAAAAATTCCTTCTCATCATGAAAATAATTTCTTCTCTATCCGAAAAAGTATCATTTAATTATGAAAATTCCTTTGAGTTGATAATTCATGAAGGTAATTTGGAGGATTAAATGATAAAATTTAGGTGAGATTTAGTGAAATAAAAAAGTTCAGAGGTGTTACGTGCAATAACTCCTAAAGTTATAGGATTATAGTGGAATAAAATAGATTATAGGGATTTAACGCGACACTCGCCAAAGTTTGGCATTTTTTGAAATTAACTCTACTAGAATTGGATTTGTTCCCTTTATCTTTGCAAACTACACAATTTATCCTTCTTTGGCCGTAGAGTATCTAAGGGATAATAATGGAAGCGTAGGCCAATGAAAACTCAAGTATGAAATGGCAGTCGCTAGACTTTCTCATTCTTTTAGGGGAGAAAGGCTCTGTTTTTGGCAAAATTAGTTGAAAGCTGCGAGATTATAGCTGAAAGCTGTCAAGCTAGCTGAAAGCTGTGAAATTGTAGCTGAAAGCTGATAGCTGTGTAGCTAGCTGATTGACTAGAGCTGTTTGGCAAAAGAAGCTGTACAACTAGTTTAAATTTGTTAAATGACTAAAAAGGTCATGTAATATTATTGATATAAAATTAGAATTATTAGGGGCAAAAACGGAAGAAGAAAATTGACAGCTTCTTCCCAAAGACAAACGCTACTTGAGATAGCTTTTCAAAAGCTACTTGCAAAAGACACAATCTCCAAAATAATCTCCTCCTATTTTTGGTCACCAAACAGCTCTACTAGCTTATTGACCAAGTCAATAAGATGGTCACCAAACAGCTCTACTAGCTTATTGACCAAGTCAATAAGACACAAGCTCTTAGATAAGACACTTTCAAAAGCTCTTCGACACTCGCCTAAAACTGCTGCAAATGGGTGGGTTGGGTTTATTTATCTGTTAAGGCTAGGTTAAGTTCATGGAACGCATGGCGGCCAATTGAAGCTAGTGATAGCTAACACTCGCGCAAGCCGAGTTTTGTTAGAACTCCTCCTTTTTAGGGTCATATGACTTTCTTGCTGCGTTTATCAACATCATGTGCTATGCTTTTCTGATAAATAAGAGTATGTTTGACGACTGATCAACGTGACTTAAAAGCTACCGAGACATGTTTGGCAAACAACTTATTTTGACTTATAAGCCTGAAAAAATAAATTGGGATAACCTAACTTATTTTTTTGGTGACTTATAAGCCACATAGTTTGATCAAAGACCATTTTACCCCTTAGCATTTAAGAAAAATCCAAAGCTCTCTTTCTCCATCTCCAACCATTTTTGGTCATTTTGACAATAAGGATGGATTTTAAGCCACTCGTTTGCCAAATGCTCTCCCGCTGAAATAACCAAACACTTTGAATTATAATCCACTTGAATATTAACCATTTATGGATTGTAAGCCAAGCAGATTATAATTCGAATTTACCAAACATGCTCTAAGGCCACTAAAGATTGCAAAGTGGTCTTCTAACTGAGGAAAAGAAAAAAATCGAAGTAGAAAATGTATCTAGTATACAATCTTCTCCCTTCACTTTATAATCCACATTCTTATTATCACTTCTTGACAGCACCAAATATTCCATAAATAAGACCAGCAAATTGTCACTCCTTTGATATATAATATTAGGAGTGCATACGGTTTGGATATGGCTCTGATGTGATACTTATCCATACTCGTTTACCAATCACGGATATGGATATACCTCATTCATATCCGCTAAAGTCGAATACGAATACAGATATGCATTATGATACATAAGCGGATATACATGTGGATACAAAACAAACACTAGAGAACTAGATAATATTGAAACAAAATATAGTTCATATGATACAAGAGTAGTCATTAATATGTTTGTTATTTCTGATAGATATTCTGATCATCAAAATTAACCTCAAATCCATTAATCTAAGAATTAAAATTGTCGCAACAATATACCCATATATATTCAGATGTTTCAGATATGCATCCGGATATTTTACTACATAACCATATCAGCAACCGGTTATAGATTTTAGTAACCATATCCGTATCCTAATGGATACTGATACTGATATTTCCTCAGATACAAATATTTTTGTGCACCCCTATATACTACAATATTCACTCCATAAAATTCAAGTGCAGCTCTCCATGTTCTACCATGTATCTACACAGCATGCACAATATCTAACTTTGTGCACACACTATAGCATACATCAGACTTCACAAAACACTAAAATACAAGACACAAGACATTTATTCTGCTTCAACTTCTGAATAAGGCCTAAAGTCTGCTAAAAGACGCAAGTGAGTTGCACATGAATATCTATTAATACGAAGGATTGAACAAATCCTGCCAATGAGTCAGATAAGAGTTTCCGGAACAAATTACTATTGTTGTATGAGGGTCTAAATGAGTATTTGTTCATAATCTTGTAAAACTTCAATCATGATCTGGCACTCATTTAACAGTATATGTTCTACAAGATTATGAACAAATACTTTTGATGTAACATGTCAGTATAAATTAACCACTAAAGGTTAAACAAGAAGTTAGACGCCAAAATTACTTACAATATCAAGTAGAATGTCATCCATAATCTAGAACTAGTTGTGAACATCAAGAAGGCTATAATTTCACATCAATTTCTGGTGAATCATGAAAAACCAAAATAAGCTCCTTGCAAAGGCTATCTAACATGTTGCAGCCAGAAACTTCTTCACTACTGGTTGATAACTGAGAATTGCTCTCTGAGGGTTCCTTCGAGGTTTTGATAAGTCAAATGCTTTCATGAAACATCTTGATCGCATCTGTTGTTGAAATCATCTGCGCAGACTGATGGAGATTCTGAAGCTGAACTTTTTTCTCAGTTCTTGTTGCCAATTTTTCTATAAAGTCATCTGGAAGATTGATATATGCACTGTGTAATATGCACTACAAACGCATCAGAGGAAATGTTTTCAATATGCAATAGAAAAGAGATCAAGAAAGACAGTCTTCTACCTAGAAATTCCTCTAACAAAGCCCCACTTGTAAGCAATAAGTACAGATTGCTTAAAGCCAACATTAAAGCCCTTTTGTGCAGAAGCTTCTTTGCCAGCTGAAATGCCATTTCGATACCCCATCTATTTTTTTTTCCTAATAAATTAGAAAATACGTAATTTGAAGTGCTTACACAGTGCGTAATAAGTGTGGATGAAAAAATTAACTGGTATAAAGATTTTCACAAAAAGGGCACCATATGAAATTGTCCATGCCTCCTTTTCCACTCCCTATTTAGTATGTATGAGTGGTTTCTGCCATGATTTGTGATACTATTTAATATTTCATCTTCGCCCCATAAGTCAATATCATCATCTACAAGCAATCAATAGTGAATAAAATAAAGACGAAAGAAAGAAAATATTATTTGCACCAGATGAAATGCAGATGATCAACATCGTGAAAATTGGAAAATAATCACGAATAAAATTGCATAGACATCAGCTCAACTCATAACAAAGTTGAAGACATGGATGGTCATGGAAGGGTCAGGAAATTTTATCAAATGATTATCCATATATATGTGTATAACCCCGGGAAACCCCAAAAGATTTCAATTAGCTATGCTCCTGGGTAATTCTGACAAGCTCTGAAGAACAGCAATTGGCAAAATAACATCTCTACTTGAGAATAGAGAAAGGGCCCGGAAATTTCTGAACGTCCATATATTAACATTAGAGTGTTTGCACATATTTTTATAGATAACCAAGCAGTGTAATTAAATACTGTTAGGAAATGATATAAAAAAAATTTGAATGTTGTTCCAAAATTTTTACACCAAATAACTTGGTTGTAAGTTTGTAACAGCACAAGATGGGCACTTTTACTCCTTATATAGAACATTTCCCAGCAAATAAAATGGCAAAAGCTAACGATCGAACTTCACGTAAAGGAAGATATATGCCATACGTTGTGATCTTATCACCATTTTTCTATAAGCAACAAGACTTCTCATTGTTCTCAATGAAAAGGGAAAGCGAGAAAAGTAATAGAAAAAGTTTATGATGAAATGTGTGTCATAGTCATATATTATCCTAACACCTAATAAGATGCCTGAACTCAAAATGTCAAACATGAATGATGTAGACAACTCCATTATTTTGTGCTTAATGTTTTGCTGTTTCACTCTCTATCCCAGCTCATGATAAAGTAGGGAATTGACTAACCAAGGCAGAGCACCAAAACTTGGTTGGATATCTAAGTAGTAAGCCTTAAAGAAAAACAAACAAATAACAAAGCTTTTATTGCAAATTTTGGGGGTTGGCTACCTGAATCATATTTTTCCATTCAGTTCTATTACGGGTTGTCATATCAAAAATTGCCTCAAACCAAGTTCATTTAGATATACTTCTTGTGCTCTTTGCCCAGTATTATAATCTTATCACACTTGTAACCGATGCATTTCGTGTCATCCATTGTACATGACAAACATGACCAAACTATCACATACGATCACAAACATAGAACATGCAAATAATAGATTGTGATAGTTTGGTCATGTTTGCATGTTCTATGTTTGTGATCGTATTGATTTGTGATTTTTGGTAAATCCGTCTCGCTAATATCCAACTCGAACTCAACTTACTCCACTATACACATAACACTGTTTATAAATTAAGATTTATTTTTTAAAGATATTAGACCCTTAAATCATAGGTATTTTGTTAGTCCCTCAAAGCTTCATATTTTGATATTAGTCATTCTAGTTAGTTGGTCTTAAAATAGGTGGGAAATATTCTATTTTCTCTAACTTTTTTCTTGAATGGTTAAGAATACCCCTCTCATCCCTCATTTTTGACATCCTCACTCTCCTCTCTGTACCTGACCACTGCCGCTGCCACCCCCTCTTCACCCTCTCCCTCCTCCACTAGGTCTGCTCCAATGTGATGGATGTGACATAAACAGTGGAGGTGGTGATAGTGATGATAGATGAGGTGAGAATATTGGCGAGGAGGTGATAGACGAGGAGGAGATGGTGATAGAGGCAAGAATGCCAACAATGGTAGACAGGGTGGCGGCAAGAATGAAGGAGAGAGTAGAGGCAGATGAGATGGAGGTAGGGGTAGTAAATGATCGATTCGAATCGAATACGAAGGTGTTCGTATTTGTATATTTAAAATTATCAAATGTGAAATCTAATATTCATCTATGGAGTTTTTCGAATTTGAACTCAAATACTTGGTATTTTATAAATATTCATGAATATTCACCAATACTTATCAAATACCAAAGTATATTTATCCTGCTAAGAAATTTGATTTTCAAATAGTCTTTAAATTAATAAATGAAAATTATTCCTTTATAATATATAATGAGTATATGTTTAAATCAAAATTTTCTTTAGAAAACATATTTAAGATTATTTAAATATTAAAATTACTATATAAAGCTTAAGTAAAAATGGTAAGTGAATTAAAAATACGGCATCATATGTGCAATAATATAAATAATAAGTGATCAAATTTTAAACAAATATCTTATAATCAAACGAATCAAATATACATCTAGTTAAATTATATTCATTAGTAAACTTGAATACTAAAAAATATTTGTTTAGTGATAAATGAACTATCAAAATCGAATATGACTGAATAGTTACTCGAACGGTTATCGAACTATTTGTTAATTATTTGGTTCCTTTCCATCCCTAAGAGGAGTAGAGAGAGGGGGAGGGGTAATAGGCTAATTCCACAACTATGGTCAGTGTATATACCCAACCATAGTTTAGGGTTTTGCACCTAAACCCAATAGAATAACTAATATCAACACATTAAGATAGTGGGGGACTAATATAAAAATATGAAGATTTGGAGATTAATATCAAAATAACTATGATTGAAGAGACTAACGTCTTGAAAACCCTATAATTAATTAAATAAAATTGAAGATACAGAAAGTTTTAAAAAAATCAAAATTCATTGGAGAAAATAAGGAAAAATCCAAAGAAAGAAAGGGAAAAGGAGAGCCGTACCAGCCATTGCTGCACGCCAAGAAAGCTTCTTCTCTTCTCCTTGATGTCAGGTGGGTTTAGATGCAGGGGTGTAAGTGGGTACCCAGTAACCCGACAAAGATTCGACCCGACTTAATGGGTACGTTTGTTAGGCTGTAAACGGGTTGACTTCAGTTCGGTTTTGTGAGAGACCCAAATTCAGATCGTAGGAAATGCCTTATATCCTGTTGAAAGGAAATTTGGATTGTAACACAAAATTTAGGAGAGGGAGCAATGTTGTCTTTAATAAATGATAAATGAGGAAGTCTAAAAATATTTTCTCAAATTTTTTTCTTTATTTGCAAATTCTGGTGGGTCTGGTGAGAAAAGTTTAAAATTCATGGGGACTTTGTGAAAAACTCCAAAATTAATGTGGATTACGTAATATAAACAAGTTCAAGGGAGTTATAGGCAACACGTCTAAAGTTCAAGGGGTTGTGCGGAATTTACCCTTCCTATTGAAGTAAGTGTAAGAAAAAGGGGATATTATATTTATCCCTCAAATATCCTCCATATAGTTTATTTTTAATATATGTCCTACTTGTTATGCATATGACCCAGATTTCACAGGCGGGCTAGTTAGACCATCTCGTGACATCAAGTTAACTTAATTAATAAGGGAACTCACTTAACTCAACAAAAGTGCATGATATCCTCACTCAATTTGTAACCAGATTACGACCCAAAGGCCCGACCTAAAAGCTCGGATACGACGAAAGACATCCATGACAACTAGGCTCATCTCAGCTCAGTTAACATACCTCAACCCTATCGTCCTGGTTTTACGGTTTTTTGCCTAACTAAAAATGATTGATTCAAATAGTATCATATATATCCTCAACAAACCATGTTAGAAAGTATCAATTGAGTACACAATCTCTTTGATTGCTAACTTTCATAGCTTATGTGATCTACACATACGTATGTTAGTTGTACCATTCTACACCAATAAGATTCTGCCACATGAACTTACCTGCAGGCCAAGTAACTATCATAACTATCTTGGCCATCAGGATGGTGACATATGTATAACTTGATCTGTTCAAGCAATTAGTATAAATATGCAAACCCTACCAATAGATGAGTGACGATGCTTCTTGACTTTGGCTTGTTTTCGCCAACCTTAGTCTATGAAACTCTCTTCTTTGAACCCTAATCTACATGCGTACTCCTTTAAACTTCATCATCAAGAGTGTCACTTAGATATCAGGTAGGCATTGTTGGACAACCTACCATCATCAATCTAACGCTTTTCCTATGTATCACAGGCACTCTCAATCGAAGATCATCATAAGACATCAAGGGAGATGATGAGACACTTAACATTGAGTCCAATTTTACCAATTCAATCTATCATGTTATTCCTTGCATCAACCATTGTAGGCGTCAAAAATTACCTATAGGTCATCGAATACAACTCGAATCAAAGAGTGGACGAATCGAGAAGGTTCACGTCAACCAGCTCGCGCACGTCGGTCAACGCGTGCGTGTCAATCAGTTCGCACGCGTTAGTCAATGCGCGTACGTCAGTCAGCTTGCGCGAGTTAATCAGCTCGCACGCGTCAATCATCTCGCACACATCAATCAACACGCGCGCGTCGATCAACACCAAGCGACCGAATGCACTCGTCAGTCAACTTGCGCTTATCGGTCAGTTCCAAGTGCCTTAAAGAAGCTAACGAGCGTATGAAGCAAGTTAGCAAATCGTACAAGTAAACAAGATGGTCAAACACGTAAAACGGTGGAAAATACAAGTCTCGGAGATTCGGAAAACACCAAAGAACTCGGCAAAAAAAACAAACCCCCGCGACCGCGCGGGTCGGACCACGCCGACCCGCGCCCCCCGCGGGTCGGCGGGCTGTTTCGCGTAGGTTTGACCCTCGGACTTGTTTTTCGACGGTTTTGAGCGGTTTTCTCGGGATTTATCTGTTCCAGAGGTTTTTAACTGTCTAGATATCATCTACAAACGTGGTTAGGCCGTTACTAACTGAAGATAAGGTCAAATCACCCATTTTTATCCGAAAACCCCCAACCGAAGCCTGTAAATACAGGCCTAGGGCCTCTTTTCAAGGGGGGCAATTTATTATCAAGACG